CCTCTCTCTCCCTTTTGGGGTCCTGGGACATCTGAGGAGCTGGAGGAGAAGCAGATGGTCTCTAGGAGGTGTTGACGCTCCTCATGCTCCTGTGTGCTGGCAGCCAGGCTGGAGCAGAGGCTGCTCAGGTGCTGCTGGGGAGCCTCTTCGGTGCATATGAAATAGCTGTAGGGTGAGGACCAGGGCTGATAGGTGCTGCAGGTGTGGGCACGGAGCTCGCGGTGCTGCAGGGCCACAGAGTGTGGAGGAAGGAGCTTGCAGTGAGTTGGGGGTCCCTCTAAGAGCCCAGCCCACCACAGGGCTGGGGACCCATCCTCTCTGTGTCCCTAGGGTGCAGAGGTGGCTGGCTCTGTCAGCCCCAGCATGGAGGGCACTATCCCTCCCTCCGCAGTGGAGGCACAGCACAAGGCTCACCCCGCGTCCTGCTGCCGTCACCCCTGGGAGAGCTGCACTGGCACCGGGGCAGCGACGGGGGCGCCGAGCTGGCACTCCTGTGGGCATCATCTGCAGATTCAGGGACTTCTGCTGGGAAGAGGTGGGAGAGAACCCACTGTAGCTCAGTGGTGGGACATGACTGCAGGACCCCATCAGCTCCACAGAAAGCACCCGCTGCTGCAGACCCACCTAGTTCCCGTTCGCCACCCATGCCTGACCAAAGCCCTCCAGGGCCCATCTGAAGGGGGGGAAAGTGCCAGTAAGCATCTTCACATCATCTTCTCTCTTCTCTTCCTAGGAGAGAGAGACTTAAGTTTCACAACTTGCTTACTGCTACTCTCTGGTATTAAATGACTTGGCAGAGCATAGAATGAGTGTAAATAGGAAAACGTGTCTCCACAGAAAGAGTTCCCACAGAGGTTTTCTGTAGGGTGTACATTGTGCATGGCCAAGTACTGTACATTCCAAGCCCAAGTTCTGTTTCTCAGTCCTGACATGATGTGCAGGTTAAGGGGTAACATTGCGTGTTTAAATGCAACAGGAGGTTGAGCATCTTAAACCCAGAGTCTGGAGTCCGAAGACTTCCTTTACCTATTGCCCAGTGCAGATGTTTTAATAGTGCCGTGTGTTGAGTTTTCCTGGGCAGATTGCAGTGGCAGGGGGCTGTAGGGGTGGCTTCTGCAAGAAGCCCTAGAAGTTTCCCCTAGGTCAGACAGAGCCAATGCCAGCCAGCTCCAAAGATGGACCCGCTCTGGCCAAGGCGGAGCCCAGCAGTGACGATAGGACAGGAACTCCTCCGTGAGAGCATA